ACTACAAAAAAAAAAAAAAAAACAAACAGTAAGAAATCACCAGTTAATAGATTACATATTATCATCTTAGAGATAGTTGCTCAAATCACAGTATCAAAGCATACAAAGTGGACTTTCAAACAGTGAGACTGCAAACAGTTGTGTTCAATGATCCAACCAAAAACATTAATATGGTCAGCTATTTAACACTCCTAAACACACTTGTTGTTATATCCTTTAGAGCTCTTTTTTTCCTTCTCTTTTTTACAACAAAATCCACACATTTTGGGTTTTATTACTCCTTAGTTCTTATTACTTTTTTGGGGGGGGAGAATAAAGTCAAATATGGCAAAACAAAGCTGTCAGTCAAAACCAAGGATAGACATAGCACATGATGTAAAACAGAGTACAAGGTTATCAACAATGCTTGTCAACAATGTCTCTTGTTTCCTTAAAAAGAATTGTCTATCTCATTAGATATTATAAAGTTGAACAAAACAGTAGAGAACAAGACCAATGAAACTTAAGCATTGTAAACATTACAGGACTTCCAAAGGAGACAATAGTCAAACCAGAATGGGCATCTTAGTGAATCTTATTGCCTTCAAAGTAGTTGCCTATACCCTCAAACTTGATACTATCCTACAGAATGGAACAGAGTCTAATCAGTCAAAACAAGATAGTGGGAGTATTACAGGACTTCAAAACAAGTTAATTGGAAATCAAAAAAAGTTACTATTATATATCCTGCTAATTTTTTTAATTTTTCCCCTTAATTAAAAAAACCATAAAAATAACTAAATATTTTTTTAATGAATAAGGGAGAGATTGAGATAAAAGAAGACATAACAATATAACAATACAGGTCAGAGCATGACTGTTTCAGCAACCTAGTGCTTCACCACCAAATAACTCGACTTAATAGTAGTTACCATAGTGTCTATCTTTTTCCTTGAAATATTTGAATAAAACTTCATATACTATAGCTTCAAATATTTCCATATCAAGAAGCCCAGAATAAAGCCTTTCCAATTAATAAGTGAAAACTTTATAAGGCTTCAAGGCCACATAATGGAGAATCATGATTACCACATATTTTTATATATTTGAATCATTACTTACATTAGGGAAACTATTCGGTATTCACACATGCGAGATTGATTTATTTCACTTATGAGTATGGTCTCAAGCTGCGCCCATTTATTGATAAATATCTCAATGTGATTCTTCTTTATAGCTGAATAATACTCCATTGTATAGAAATACTACAACTTTTTTATCCATTCCTCAGTTGATGGACACTTGGGTTGTTTCCAAGATCTGGCGATTACAAATTGTGCTGCTATAAACATAGGTGCACATATATCACTGTGGTATGATGCTTTCAGTTCTTCTGGGAATATGCCTAGAAGTGGAATAGCTGGAATAAATGGGACTTCCAATCCCAGCTTTTTGAGAAATCTCCAGGCTGACCTCCACAAAGGCTGCACCAGTCTACACTCCCACCAACAGTGTAGGAGAGTTCCTTTTTCCCCCACAGCCTCTCCAGCATTTGTTGTTGTTGGTTTTTTTGATCCTGGCCATTCTTTCAGGAGTGGTATCTCAGTGTGGTTTTAATTTGCATTTCTCTAATGACCAATGATGATGAACATTTTTTCATGTATTTATTTGCCATTTGCATTTCTTCATCTGAGAAGTGCGTATTCATCTCACATGCCCATTTTTGGATTGGATCTTTGAATTTTGGGGGTCTGAGTTTTTTTAAAATTCTTTATATGTTTTAGACAAGAGTCCCTTGTCTGAGAGAGAGTTCACTAAAATCTTTTCCCAGTTTGTGGGTTTTCTTTTTACTATGCTGGAGATTTCTTTTGACATGCAGAAACTTTTTAATAAGAAGTGGTCCCAGTTATTGATTCTGGGAAGTATTTCCCGTGTGGTTTGAGTCCTGTTCATGAATTCCTACCTACGCCTATGTCTTCAAGGTTTCTACCCAATTTGTCTTCCAATAGATTTAGTGTTTCTGTTTTTATATTCAGATCTTTGACCCATTTAGATTTTAATTTAGTACATGGTGATAGACATGGGTCTAGCTTTAGTTTTCGGCAAATGGAGAGCCAGTTTTTCCAGCACCATTTATTAAAGAGACTGTCGTTCTTCCAGTGAACCTGCTTGACTCCTTTATCAAAGATAAGGTGGTTGAGTGTGTTTGTAGTTGTGGTTGTATCTTCTAATCTATTCCATTGATCTTTGGCTCTGTTTTGATTCCAATACCATGTTGATTTTACTACTGTTGCTTTGTAGTATAACTTCAAGTCAGGGATTGTGATGCCTCCTGCTTTGTCTTTGCTGCTTAGAATTGCCTTTGCTATTCTAGGTCTCTTCTGGTTCCAGATGAAATTTAGGAGTGATTTCTCTAGATCTATAAGGTATGTTGATGGTATTTTTATTGGGATTGCATTGAATCTGTATAACAGTTTTGGGAGAATGGCCATTTTCATAATGTTTGTTCTTCCTATCCATGAGCAAGGGATGTCTTTCCATTTTCTGAGATCATCTTCAATTTCTTTTTTCAGTGTATTATAATTTTCACTGTATAAGTCTTTCACTTCTTTCCTAAGAGTAATTCCTAAATATTTCATTTTTTTGCTTGCTAATGTGAAGAGTGTAGTTTCTCTTATTTCCCTCTCTGTGATTTTGTTGTTCGTGTATAGGAATGCTATTGATTTCTGAGTATTGATTTTGTATCCAGCCACATTACTGAATTTATTTATTGTATCTAAGAGTCTTTTAATGGAATTTAGGGGGTCTTCTATGTAGAGTATCATGTCATCTGCAAACAATGATAATTTAACTTCTTCTTTTCCTATTTTTACCCCTTTTATTTCTCTCTTGCCTAATTGCTCTGGCTAGTACTTCCAGTACTATATTAAATAGGAGTGGTGATAAAGGACATCCTTGTCTTGTGCCTGATTTTTAAAGTAAAGGCTTTCAATTTCTGGCCATTTAGTATGATGCTGGCTGTTGGTTTGTCATAAATGGCCTTTATTATATTGAGGTAAAGACCATCTATTCCAATTTTCTGTAAAGTTCTTATCATGAATAAATGTTGGACCTTATCAAAGGCTTTTTCTGCATCTATAGAAATGATCATGTGATTCTTATTTTTCGCTTATTGATATGGTAGATTACATTTATTGATTTATGTATATTGAACCATCCTTGCATTCCTGGGATGAATCCCACTTGGTCATGGTGTATAATCTTCTTGATGATTTGCTGGATCCTATTTGCCAATATTTTATTGAGGATTTTTGCATCTGTGTTCATTAGGGAGATCAGTCTATAGTTCTCTTTTTTAGTTGGGTCTTTCTCAGGTTTTGGTACTAGAGTAATATTTGCTTCCAGGAATGACTTAGGAAAGATTACTTCCCTTTCAATTTCATTGAATAGTTTGAGGAGTGTCGGCATTAGGTCTTCTTTGTATTTCTTGTAGAATTCTGCAGTGAATCCATCTGGGCCTGGGCTCTTCTTGGTGGGTAAGGACTTAATTTCATTTTCAATTTCATTAACAGAGATTGCATTATTCAATAGTTTTACATCCTCTTGATCTAGCTTTGGTACTTCATATGTTTCTAAGAATCTGTCTATTTCTTCTGTGTTATCAAATTTTTGAGAGTAGAGGTTTTCGAAATAGGTGTTGATGATCTTCTGTATTTCTATTGGGTCTGTAGTGATTTCACCTTTTTCATTTCTTATTGCATGAATTTGAGCTTTTTCTTCCCTTTTTTAAATAAGGTTGGCTAGGAGCTTATCGATTTTATTTATTCTTTCAAAGAACCAACTCTTTGATTCGTTGATTCTTTGGATTGTTTTCTTAGTCTCCATTGCATTGATTTCTGCTCTGATTTTTATAATTTCCTCTCTTCTTTTGGCTTTGGGCTTGACTTGCTCTTCTTTTTCTAGCTGTTTGAGGTGTAGCATTAAGTTATTTATTTGTATTCGTTCTGTTTTCCTGATGTGGGAATTCAGTGCAATAAATTTTCCTCTGAGGACGGTTTCATTGCATCCCACAAATTCCGGTAAGTTGTATCTGCATTTTCATTTTCTTTTAGGTATTGTTTAATTTTTCTTTAATTTCTTCTGTGACCCACTGATTACTCAAGAGTGTGTTATTCAGTTTTCATGTGTTTGCGGGATTTTTGCAGTATCTTTTATTATTAATTTCTAATTTCAAAGCCCTACAATCTGATAACATGCAAGGGATGATTTCAACTCTTTTGCATTTGTTTAAATATGTTCTGTGAGCTAATATATGGTCTATTTTAGAGAATGATCCATGTACTGCTGAGCAGAATATGTATTCTGATGTTGTTGGGTGGAATATTCTGTATATGTCTATCAAATCCGTTTGTTCGCAGGTGAGATTCAGTTCTGTTATTTCTTTGCTCATTTTCTGTCTGGTTGATCTGTCCCTTGGTGTCAATGGCGTATTAAGGTCTCTTGTTACAATTGTGTTACTGATAATTTGAGTTTTCATTTCTGTTAATAGTTTTTTTATATAAATGGGTGCTCTGGAGTTTGGTGCATATATATTTAAGATAGTTATCTCTTCCTCTTGGAGTTTTCCCCTAATGAGTCCTTTATGATCATTGTTGGTTTAAAGTTCACATAGTCTACAAACAGAATGGCTACTCCTGCTTTTTTTTTGGATCCCTGTTGCGTGAAGTATTGTTTTCCATCCTTTGACTTTCAATATGTGAGTATCCTTCTGTGTTGGATGGGTTTCCTGTAAACAGCATATGGTTGGATTTTGTTTCTTGATCCATTCTGCTAGTCTGTTTCTTTTGATTGATGCATTGAGATCATTTACATTAATGGTTATAACTGTTATATGCTGGTTTATTGTTGACATGTTATCTCTCTGCTGTTGCATCTTTATCTTTCTGTTCTGTTTAATTATCTGTTTTGCTTAGTGGTTTTTTCCTTTGTGTATCTAAACTGTCTCTCAATATTTTTTGCAGGGTTGGCGTGGTGTTAATGAAGTTCTTCAGCTGTTCTTTGTCATGGAAGTATCGTATTTCACCATCGATTTTGAAAGGTAGTTTTTCAGGGTACATCAGTCTAGGTTGGAAATCATTTTGCTTTAGGATCTGGAATACTTCACTCCATGCTCTTCTTGACTTTATTGTTTGTGCTGAGAAGTCTGCTGTGATTCTGATAGGTTTTCCTTTATAAGTGATCTGTCTTTTCTCTCTGACAGCTTTTAGTAATCTATTCTTGTGTTGGATTTCTGGGATGGTGATTATTATATGTCTGGGTGTAGTTTTATTTTGGTTATGACTATTTGGAGTTTTATATGCTTCACTGATCCTGATGTCGGTTTCTGATCTCATGCTTGGGAAATTTTCAGCTATTACTTCTCTAAATATCCTCTTGACATCCTTTATGTTGTCCCCTTCTTTTTCATTAATCACTATCATTCTTATGTTATTTTTCTTTGCATTGTCTTGCAGTTGTTGAATTGTTATTTCCTGATTCCTTGTTATTTTTAAAAGATCTTTCCTTTCCTGTTCACTAGCTGCAATCCTGTCTTCAAGGCCTGACATTCTATCTTCACTTTCATTAAGGCAGTTTTTACAACTTTCAGTGGAGTTTTTTATTTCCTGTATATCTCTGTGCATCTGCATTACGTATTCTGTTTGTTTCTTATATTGCTCGTCTAAGGATTCTATCTTTTTGTTTAGCTCCTCCAATTTTTTATCTGTGTTTTCTTTAGATATATGCAGAATCTCTTTCATTTCTTTTATCATTTCTTCTTTTACCTGGGAGATTATTTCGAGTTTGAATTTCTTTAACGCTTCCTGGAGTTGCTTGTTAATTTCAGTAGCTATTGTATCCAATATTTGAGGTGAATGGCATATATTTTCTTCTATATACATTCCTCCTAGAGTTTCTTGAGATGCGCTGGAGGTTTGAAGTTGTAATGTGGTCTTTCGTTTTGTCATTTTCCTATATTTCTGTGTTTCAAGTGTTATTTGAAAGCTTCCTCAGGATCTGTTGGAAATCCCCTTCTATATTTGCAGCTACTGAGACTCTGACATCACATTACCCCAAGCCACTGGGCCTCTGGAACCAGTGGCCCTCCTCTGCCTGTTCAGAACTCTGCAGTTCCAGATAAGCTGGGCCTCAGGGACACTGTGCACCCTCCTGCCTGTTGGAAGCTCCACAGCTCTCCAATCGCTGCTGGGATGTGGAGGTGGATGTAGATGCCTCAAACCCACCTCTCCACTTCACTGCACCAGAAAGCCTGGAGGGACCCAAACAGTCTGGGATTTGGGCAGAGTGCGCTGAGCACTCACCACAGGCCGCGGTGCCTCTGGAACCTGCGATCCTTCCCTGCTTGCTGAGATATCCACAGTCCTCGGGTCCTTAAGAATTGCAGGGCCCTTTCTCGTGCCCAGGGACGGCGTGCGGATGTGCGGCTGATGAATACTTTTAAGCTGTTAATAATTAAGGTTTTATTTACAGTAAAGTTGGAATGAGTGTAATCCTCTTGTCTACAAATACAAGAGATCAAGCATGAGCTTTTGTAAATCATGCATTATTCCCAAGGTAACTGAGTTGATTCAGATACCATCTGTATGCTCTTTAGGATTTTCTGTAAAGTCCTAGTGAAGTAGCTATTCTGGTGTAATCTATTTGTACCAGGCCTCATCTGCTCGAGTGTTACAAAACCAGGAGTATAATCCCCTGTGGGAAAAACAGTCCTCTCTCTCAAATATTATGGTATGGGGCTAACAAATATTACAGCTTTTTTGGAAAATAATATCAATATCTATCAAAATAAACAAAAACAAATCTGGCCTTTCCTATACTGGTAATGGAAGCCATGGAATGAAGCCTGGTGGTTGGTAGGTAAAGGGTTGGACAAGCATAGGATGTTCAGGGCCCCACACTGGAAATGAGGCGCATGATCAGACAATAGGCCCAGCAAAACAAGTTGTGGAACAGTCGTGCCGTGGGGTATTTTATACACGTGAGAAGAAATGAGTCTGGCCTGCAGCAAATGACCTGGAGGCACTTCCTATAGGTTCAGTTCCATGTGAAAAGCGAAAGGCAGAAGTGAATATATAGTCTCAATGTTATAAAACATGAAAAATTCATGCTCCCATGATTGTGTTACAGAGGGAGCATATCAGGAAGTGTTATTTTAGCAGCATTTTAAAATTGGTTGACTCGAAAGAGCAAGAGTTGGTTAAAGGAGAAAGCACAGAAAAGAGTGGGAGAGTAGAACATTTCAATAGCTATTAAACTGTTAATAAGTTTAATAACTGTGGTATTAAAAAGGAGAAATGAGAAGGGGTGGGATGGGGTGGGGGAGAGAAGAATGCAGCAATAAAGTTCTCAAGCCAAAGGAGAACATTGGAGCAGAAAACAAAAAATAATTCTGCCTAAACTGTTCCCGTAACCCCACTACCTGGGTGTTACTACCACTCCCTTAGGAAGAATCAGAGACTTGATATGAGAACATACCAACGATATATTCTTTATGTTTATGTTTAATTGTTTGTAAGTTTGTTGGGCAGCCTGTATAATAATAATAATGATAATAATAAGTCAGTCCCCATGGGGTCTTTCTCTGTTTCTAGTTCTATTCTCATTACAATTTTAGCGACTTTGCCCCTCTTTAATATTTCCCTCTTCCCAAGTGCAACTGAGAATCCCTAAACCAAGACACTGGCTGGATTTTGGAAGATACTCTTCCCGTCTTCTGCCCTCCAAAACCTCCCTGTGTCTGGACTCACTGATGCCCCTATGTTTGTATCTTAACTCAGTTCAGAAAGTACATGGTGTAGACAACTGGAAGAGAACTTGCCTTTATGAGAACTGAGACTTTATATGGAATGAGGGACAGTACTTTAATTGTGCAAGATAGGGAACAAGCAATGGTGCAAGACCTGAACTGAAAAGTCAAGAAGGCCCTGCCGAGTGATGGTGCCAACAGAGTGGGGCTCACCGCTCAGTGGTGCACTGGCCAGACAGGGCATGTGTTAGGCCAGCTTGCAGATGGGAAGTTTACACCGAGAAACTCAGCTTGTCAGCACAACCTGAATGGTCCCAGCTGAGTATTTCTGCTCTTGTAGTGAATCATTGTTTCTCTGCACTAGACCCAGTTGTTTTATATTCAGAGTAAGTTACTCTTCTCCCAGTGGTACCAAGTTCAGAACTGAACACCTAGTCTGGTCTTCATTTGATATTGCTATACAGCATCCTTTCTGGTTTGCAGGTGCTTTTCTGAAGCATGGAATCCTTTCTTGCTCATAGACACCTGCCTTTCTGGGTCAGAATCCTTCCCTAATCCTTGACCCACATGTGACCTGAAGTTGCTGCACTTTCCGGGTACCCTTCCCTGGACTCCCTAGTCTGGGCCTTGCTGCATGTACGAGCAGGGAGCATCCCATGCCATATCTTCAAGTTCACTCTCTGCCTCATTTTTCTTGTTGCTGAGGTAAAATACCTGACACCCAAAGTTAAAGGAGGAAATGTTTATTTGGCTCACAGTTTGTAGAGGTTTCACTGCATAGTTGGCTGCTTCTGCCGCCGGATGACATAACAGAGGGGCATCACTGAAGAGAAACAGTTTGTGAAAGGCAGAAGGCAGCAAAGCATCTAGTAACAGGTGACAAGCAACAAGGAGCACCACTTCTTCTGTCTCTTATAAGCTATCCAGCCCCCTACCCTGAGGGTAGCCCTCATGCCCAGGGTGGGGCAGCCTTAATCCTAGCATCACATCAGGAATCAATCCCAGTATCACACACCCTAGATCCAGCCACCTCCCAAAAGCTCCACTTATGCCTGCATGAGGCTTTGGGACTCCCCTCGTCCCATGCTTCTGATGCTAGCAACTTTGTAGAAATAGCCTACACTTCTGATATCAGCCCAGAAGTGGATTTGGCACTTGGGACCAGCTTTGCATTCCTGATTTACCTTGCTGCCAGGCTCCCAGTGCGGCTTCAATCACCCTATGAGCTCACGCTGGATTAAAAAGTTTAGGTTTCTAATCCATCTTAATTTTCATATGTGGTGAGAGTTAAAATCCAGTTTCAATTTTGGTGTGCATTTATTCAGTTGTCACAATGCCATTTGTTGAAAGATTAATCTTTCCCCATTCAGCTTCCCTTATTGAAAGTCAACCATAAATATGTGGGTTTACTTCTAGGCTCTCACTTCCTTTCCACTGACCTATTTATTTTTATGCCAGTACCACACTGTTTTGACTACTGTAGCTTTCAATAAGTTTTGAAGTCAGGAAGTCTGAGTCCTGCAACTTTGTTCTTTTCAAAATTGCTTGGTCTGTTCTGGTTCCCTTTTGATTCCATGTGAATTTTGGAGCAGCTTGTCCATTTCTTCAAAAAAAAAAAAAAAGAAAAAAATACTATTGTAATTTTAATGGTAAGTCCACTGAATGCATATATCAATTAAGAAATATTAAGCCTTCCAATCAACAACATAGAACATCTTTTATATCTAGGACTTTTTAAAAATTTCCTACAATATTTTATAGTTTATAGAGCACAAGACTTGTACCTTTGCTAAATTTATTCCAAAACAGCCTATTATTTTTGATGTTGCTATAAATGGAATTGTATTCTTTATTTCATATTTGAGGAGTCATGGTTAGTGTATAAAATGTAATTGGTTTTTATATATTGATCTTGTAATTTGCAGCTTTACCTCCCAAATAGCTACAATCACATGTACTATTCTTAATTAACTAATATGATTTATAAAAATTGAGTTCAAAGGTTCTTTTTTTATTACATTCAACACTGATGTAGCCTTTAAAGTCTTTGCTCCCAAAATCTCTCAAAACAGACATGAGTGAGTAACTCAGAGGTGCAATGAAACCAATGGCATTGCTCCTGGTGCCACTGTGCCTGCAGACACCGCAATATATACAGCAGCTCTGTAGGCTCCTTTGCTTTGTGTATCCAGCACACGGAGTGGAGAGTTCACCTGGCGCTTCTCTTGTTGCGGTGCAGGATCGTACTGGAATCTGGAATCTTACTGGAGAGCAAAACCCATGGAACAGGCTGTTTAATCCCATGCACGGTATAATACTCAGATGTGTCTAGGGTGTTTTCAGGGGCTTCATAGCTCATGGAACTTGGCCCATGGCCCTGTAGTCTAAGGGGTAAAATCTACTCTATAAAATCATTGCACAGGAAAGCTGGGGGGAAATACACTAAAGAGAAGTCAGCACTGTCCGATGCCCACCCCAGCTCTAAGGCAGTGACTGTCTTAAGCCTTGTTGTCTATGTTCTCATCCCTTTTTGTTTCCTTGTGTAGGGTCTTGTAGGATGTTATTTTTTCTAATGTCCTGCTGTATCTCTATCTAGATTTTATGCAGCTTTAATAATGCCCTAGACTCTCGTTCTCTTTGTCCTTTTTGCAATTTGGAGTATAGATTTTTCTTGAATTCTCTTACTTGCTTTGAAGTTTTATGTGATCTTGTTTGCCTTACTGTTCATTAAAGGATGATAAGGCAGGAAAGGAATTGGAATGTGTAGGCAGACTGAGATTTTATAGGCTATAAAAAGAGTTTACTGCTTTAATTGGGCTGAAATATGGCCCCATGTTCTCCTGGCCCAGCACTGGAAGCCAATAAAATCTGAAAACCTAACAACCAGATTTCTTTTTGACTTTTCTGGAGTCTTTAAATTTGGTATATTTTGTCTTCTCAGCTTTCTGGTTCTTTGTGTTTTACATTCTAAGATAAGACACACTGGTGTTCAGACTTTAGCCCTCCAGAATCTTCATAAGACTGATACAACTACTCAATAGTGAATCAGTTTTCCTAAAGTATGCAATGCTGTCTAAAACACTTCATTTCTTTGTTATACAAATCTCTTTAGTGATGCCAAAAGGGTTTCTTTCACAAAATTATTTTGGAACTTTAAGCAGTTTTCCCTAACTTTTCTTTCCAGATACCTCAGATTTGTAAATACAGTCTGCTGAGATTTTTGAAGACCTAAGCTGCCACATCTCTGATATATCAGGTAACAGAATAGTGGGGAGGAAAATTCCTGTGGTGGAGAAAAGTGAAGGCTGGGGAGCCCATTCAGTTCTCCACTGACACATACCTGCTGCATTCTAAGCCAGTGACATCCTGAGAAAAGCACAAACCATGCCATCAGAGGGACCTCACGTTGAATGGTGACAGTGTATTTTTCTTACTGGTATGATTTTGGCCTTCTTTCCCCTTCCACCTCTCTGTCTTCTACCACCTTCTCCATTGCCACCACCTCCTTCCCCTCCTACCTGTCTTCCTCCTTCTGTCTCTGTCTCTGTCCTTCTGTCTCTGTCTCTGTCTGTGTCTCTCTCTGTACTGCACACACACACACACACACACACACACACACACACACACACACAGAAGCACATTCCACCCTCCTTCCATCCACCACTCAGGTCTGGAGTCTAATGGAGGGTGAAGTTTGTTTCTGAGAGTGGTGAGCGAGGGTGAAAAACGAGCTCAGGACAACCGCAGCCCGGTCAGGGCAGGAGGAAGCTGAGCACACACGGAGTATCTGTGGTCCTAATGTGTGTATCACCATGACTGACAGTGCGGATTCATGCAGGAGGGGAGTGGTGGGGGCCTGAGATCTCACAGCCCACCATGCACTTCCTGATAAATTTCTGCAGTACGTTATAGATGTGGTGCCCTTGTGCAGTATACAGCCTCAGCTGTACACAGTGGCCCCACATGGCTTTCCTCTTGGTCTTTAATTTTCCTAACCCATTTCTGGGCACACAGTCATGCCTACTTTTCACCTTCTTAAGGTCTACTTAGTCTTTGAGTCTCAGTATCCCAAATTGGGATTAGAGTGACATTCATTCATGTTTAGACTGGCTTCTGCTCCACATAGGACGTAAGACATCACAGAAATTGAAGTTAAACATGAAATTGAGGAGGCTGGAACAAAGGAAAGTATCTGTGTAAGAAAGGAATATCTTTAAGCCAATGACTGGCAACTTTCTTTTTAAGGCTGGATGGTAGATATTTCAGGTTTTGTGGCACACATGGTCTCTGTTACCAGGACCGAAAGAGACTGTCACAGATAATATATAGATGAATGAGCATGGTTGTGTTTAGTGAAGCTTTATTTATAAAAAAAAAAAAAAAAAAGCAGTGGGGTAGATTTGGCCAGGGCTTGCAGTGTGAGCACCCCTGGTGTAAACCAGTAGTTTCAATATAGTACAGAGTCACTGGGGAAGCATGTTAAAAACAGGTGTCCAGTCCTCTCTCTTCCAGAACTCTTTGTGGAACACTGGGATGTGGCATTTCTAAAACAAATGTAGCTATTATAGAAACACTCAAATATTCATGAAACTACAAAGATTAGTGCAACTCACACCCTTCTACCGTGACCCATGTCCCAGTTATCAGAATCCTGCTGTTCTTAATTCTTCACTCTTTCTCCACTTCTTTAGTTTTTCATTGAGGTGTTTTAAAGCAAGTCCCAGACATTATACATCACTTGAAACACTCACGCAGGTGTGTCTAGCAGAAAGGGCTAAAAGGAAAGAAAGAGAAGCATTGTTATACCAAAACAAAAAAAGGGTTACCCATCCCTGAGTGTCTTCTAACACCTACTTCATTTACAACTCTCCTCAGTTATTTAAAAATTTTACAGTTGATAAAGGTTGGGTAATTTTAATATACTTCAGATTGATCCATGTGTTGGTTTTATGGATCTTTTTAACTATTCATTCTTGTATTTGCTTTAAAAAGTTCTCTCCCTTTTCGATTCTCTTTTTGTTGTTAAAAATATTTGCCGATTTGTTCTAATGAATTTTCTCCATTAACAGATTTTAGTTAATATTATAGTTATTAGAATATTGTAGCTATATATAACTATATAATAATATAGTTATATAATATTAACTAGATTAATATTAACTTAAATATTAATTTTATCTCCGTGAGGTTTCTGAACATCTCCTACTATTCTCCACCTGCAGCTGGTTGGATCTTTGGATATGAAGCATGCAGTACCAAGGGTTGACTGTACTTGAGCCCCCAGCCCCCAATGTATCAATTTAAAAATTAGTGAGTTAGCTCCCTAGCTACCTCCATAGTAACCAGGTGGATCTTTTTGGCGTATTTTGGACTTTTACACATTAGATGCAGTTTCATTGTCAAACTAAAAGCAAGTAGAATGTGAAAACAAGTTTATTTGAATGAATCGGATTATGAGTATCTGAGGAAACAAATTGCAGCCACCTAAAAGTAGCACTAAAATAGTGTTCAAGGGGCTTGGGTTTTTAGAGATTGAAAAAAAAAAAAGAGCAAGTAAGAAACCTACAGGAAATCGTATTGGTTAACAAGAGCAACACAGGATGTTGATTAGTCCTCTGTCACCAGATATGATTGAAAACTATAGTGAGTGTTTAAAAAATTATTACAGTAAAATTGCCATTCATTCTTCAAAAGCACACCCTGTTGCTCTTACCCCTTCCTGAAGCAGTTCTGAAGCTGTCTTTCCTGAGTGTCTTTGATGCACTGTTGTCCTACCTCTGTGTCCTGCACAGATTTGCAGTGTTTACATTCCATGGCTATTTTGCTTTGGGGAAGAGCCAGAAGTTGCACTGTGTGCGCTTTGGTGAGTAAGCGGGTGAGGCCACGATTAAATGGTTTTATGAGCTGCCTTCCTGTTGGGTGGCACTCGGCAGTAGCACTCACCGTACTGTTGGTCACACTTCGTAAAGAGGACTTTCAGAACTGCTCAGAAAGAGGCAAGAATGGTGGGCCAAGTGTGTTCAAAGTGAGCGGCAGATTGGTGAGATTAGTGGATGTTTCCTTTATTAATTTAAGCATTCCCTTTATTAATTTAAGTATTCAACATACATTTTGATCACCCTTTATATGTTGTACATTTTAGAATTTCAGTAAGTAGGAAAAGTTTTTTTTTCCCCATGGCTATTTATTATCTTTACAGCCTCAGGGATTTTTCAGAGACCTGGTGTTTTGGGTCAGAATGACCTAGGTGACTGTAGTTTCATGTCTCATGTTTCCCTGGGCTAAGGAATTTTGTGACCTTATTTTACCTGTGTGTATAAGTAATATTTTAAGTCATTTCTCAAATCCATTACAGTTGTTTTATTGTTGCTAAAATTGTGTGTTTTGGCCTGTGTCCTTTGGTGGGAAGCGTGAGCTGTATTCATCCTTCTAGGATTAATATTTTTGTGCTTTGGCACAACACAGATGCCCAAGTTCTTTTGGTTCATTCTTGCCATTGCCCTGGAGTCAGCTCTTTCTCCAAGCTCTGGTTCCTTTAGTGGGAAATGATATTTAAAGACCAGACTCTAGTGGTAGGTGCTCATTACCATTGGATAAGTGTTGCTTCCTGGTCTTTCCGTTGAAGTAGGTCATAAAAAGTCCAGGAAATACTGTAAAACTATGTTAGTTCCAATTCAAATTAAGATAGAACAAGGATTTTAAAAAAAAATTTAGAGCAAGGATTTGAGTTAAAAGCGTTGCTCTAACTTTTAAAAAATTCTATAAACCAATAAAATTTGAATTTTACATTGACAATCCTGGGTTCTAATACCATTTATCAGATATTTATTTGCTTTATATCACAGCATACACTGAATAGCTTTGAGGTGACAACATGTTGCTATTCCTAACAAAATTTCTGAATACAGTCTAAAATTTCTTTGTAGTTCTTTACTGGGTTATCTGTATGTCTCACAAACTGTATTTCCCTCATTGCTATGTAAAAGTCATGCATTTTAAAGTTCATTGAAGTAAATTCTCTCTATACAGCCCACTTGAAATAATGGTAGAGTAAGTTTGTTGTCTTTGAGTTTTTAGGACCTGCTTTTTCCCTTAGGTTTTTTTTTTTCAGTTATGTAAAACATTTATCTAGTTCAAAGTCAAAATTATGAAATAGGGTCTATTTAGAGAGGGATCCTTTCCAGCCCTATTCTTCCCTTCTATAATTTTAACTGGCTTCTGGTTTACCTGATTTCTTCTTGAAGGTATAAGTGAATGCACACACAGATGCCTGTATGCACACACATACTCCTCTTTCTTACACCAGAAGTAGCGAACTTTATATGTTCCTCACTTGCTTTCACAGTGCATCTTGGAGATCTCTGTGTGGCAACATCCAGGGTGACCCCTGTGGAGGGGTCCACAGGGCACAGGTTGGTCCGTGGATCTTGCACTGGGAAGCTTTGGTGTGGATAAGAATCGTCTCTTTTGTAGGCTCTTTTGTAAGAAAAGACTGGAAACTGACTTGGCCTCAGAACCAGTTGGTTCCATGGTTCACAGCCTGAGTTGTTTCCAGAGTTCATAGTCAGTGTTTTCAGAATGGGGTGCATGGGAGCCACCCTGGAAACCCCTCATGCCAGCCTGTCTGTCAGGGGCTTTGAGGAACAGGAACATGTGTTCTTAGCATGGGCCACTTATGCCTAGCAGGGTCTGCAAAGGCAGGAGGAAATCCATCAGTTCACTTGCAGGAAGACGCTTCTGGGGAGACAAGGGGGCTGGCACTTCAGGGATGAGCCTGTAACAAAGCTGTAGCTCTTTGGAGGGTAGGGTATTTTTGAAGACAGTGTGGTGGTTTTTTTCCCAAGAATCTGTCCCTTCCTTCTTCCTAGACATCTGTCTAACTCTTGGGATAAGAAAGCTGCCAGAATTTCCCCATTGCAAACCTTGTTCATGGGACCTAATTCCAAAGGCAACGTAAACTGAAGCTGAATTTTTTCCTGGCTCCCTTCTCCACACAGCAGCTGTTCATCCCCCGAGAAGGCTGCATGTTGGGTCGGACATTGTGACTAATGAGGGAAGCAGTACTGCTCATGTTCTGTGGGAAAGTCCCCTCGGGGCTCTTGGAGATGAAGGAAGGACGGCCCCAGTGGGGTGCAGGCTCTATACAAGTAGGTGAGGGAGGGGCCAGGTAAATCTGAGCTGTACACATTTACTGGGCCTGCTGAGATACTCAGACTAGGAACTTCTAGAAGGCAAGGAGGACACAATAAACTAGTT